TGTCGGCGCCGCCGTCATTATTTTGTAAACTGCGAATGTAATGGGCGAGCAGTGAACAAACAACTGACCGACGTCACTTCAACCCCACCACCGAGTGATATATAAAGCAGCGCAAGCGCAAGCTCGAGTCAGTCGTTCGTCGATCGTTGCCCAGTTCACACGTTACGCAATCGCTGAGTAATTTTATTGTTGGTTTTATTTGAGTGTTTCCTTTATATAATCAGTGCTGAATTATTCAATTATTATAATTAAAAATTAATGTGAAAGTAAGTTCATTTAATCGAAATAAACTAAGTGATTGAGTGAAGCTCTTTGTTTTATTTTCAAATAATGTCGGACCCTGATCCTACATATACAATATATATACATAAGATGAAATATACAGAGGTAACATTCTGGTTGAAATCAACATAATAAGATCTAGAGTTTGTTTGTTTGTTTGCGCCAGTCTCCAGAACTACTGGTCCGTTTTGATTAATTTCTTTTCTGTTATTGGATTTATCAATAAAACATTGCGAGTGTATCGTTGATCGAGTGGTCGCAAGTGCGATTGCCGGGGTTTCGGATTCGATTTCCGGGTCGGGCAAATTATTGTGGATCTTTTAGAAAACATTTCGGTGGTAGCACGGAGTCTGAAATCGTGTCCGGTATATGGCAATAGGCTCACCCCCACATGGGACTCATAACATATAATAGTGAAAAGTGGGTGTTGCATTGTACAGTGGCATGAGGAGCCATAATGTGCATCTCTGCCTACGCCTTCGGGGATAAAAGGCGTGATGTTATGTTATGACATCACGCTAGGAGCCGAGCCGAGTCGAGTACCGGTTTTATAGACACAATTATAGAACAATAGGTTGCGGTCACCGGTGACCGCTTGGTGTTTGACAGTTTAAGTAGGACTATTTATCAAACACTAGGTTTGATAAATAGTTAAAAATTTGGTTATCAATACCCATCGTTTCAGCCTAGATTAAAAATCTATTTTTTTATAATTTTATAACAAATTATTTCATTTAGATACTAGTCTTATCTGCATTGACCTTAAACTTGTAAAGACCTTGCTATCAGAATGTGATAACGGGTCAACATGTGGTTATCTGAGAACATTTCTTGTAGGCTTTTAACTACACTGATAAATAGTAATGATAGTATGTACGAATATTATAAAACGGTAAGTCTTGAACTTATATTATAACTAACCACTGTTACGCGGTCTCACCCACTCTGCACGGCGCCTATTGATCATAGCGTGATATTTTATAGCAATAGCCTTCCTCGATAAATGGTCTACCCAATAGAAAAAGAATTTTTCAAATCGGACTAGTAATTCCTGAGATACGCGCGTTCAAACACACAAGCAAGCAAACAGACATATGAATTCTATAACTTTATATAATAGTAAGTATAAGAAATAGTGTATGATTAAGTTTAGCCACCTGACAAAGCTGTTCCTTGAATATAAGGTGAACTTAAGCAAAATATTCGAAAAGAAGTACAAGTTTTCATCAATTTGATCCTATTGGTTCAATATACCTCTTGTAGGAACCTTGATGCATAGCTCATTATCTCGTCTGCAAACACATTGTTAAGTAAATAAAATATCTAAACATATTTTTATGAAATAGATTTATTAAATAAATCGCAGGATTTCATTACAGACATAACGTTGTTTTAGAAAAAAAATGTAATACAGATTTGCATCGATTTAAAAGGCAGAATAGGATTATATACTCTAAAATATGGAGTAAATAAGTTTTATAGTTCACTGTACGCGAATCAGTCTTTTAGGCTGCTTTGGGTTGGCCTGCAGCTTTCATTTGGTTGATCTGTAAAGAAAAAGAAAATAATGATTTAGTATCTACGTAAGCCATCAACATTAAGGACCCGTAACTGTTCATTGAAAGACAATAGGTCTGATGCTCATACGGAGCTGTGAAAAACGTTATAGGTTACTGGAGCTCCGGCTCGAAGTGCTGGAGTAGGACCGGGGAGGTGTTTAGAAAATATGAGTCTGATATATCCCGCCTCACCCAGCGAGAGAAGTCATTTGGTGATTTTCCCCCCTTAAAAAAGGCTACCTACAGGCCTCCTCTCCATAAGGAGGTTTGTTAAATGTTTTCCACGCATGGTAGACGGGTTGGAGATCACAGTTCGAAAGTTTATCAGAAAGTGGTGCTGTCCAGTCTCTTGCAAATATTACTTGATACATCGATAATTTGAGAGTCATTACGATAACTATTATATTTAGCTCAAACATTGGCCGTATCTCAGTATATTATGAGTCTTTATTTATTTATCTTCCGAGAAGTACTTTAGGAAATCGGGCCCACGTTTCAAATGAGTGTAGGATATAGCATAAAGGGTACTTTTGGTATGTTTATTAGATGGATAATCAAAAATACACATAAAATGACTTGTACCTACACTCTACCATAAACCGGGTAATAAACCTTTTCCTCAAAAACCATACAAAAGATCCAAAAGAGAAGAAGACTGTGTCATAGAATAAAGCACAGTGAGCCGCAATAAGATTTACTGCTTTTTAGTAAGATCTCCTTCCTTCTTCACAATAAGATCTCTTTCTTCGTAAATAAAATATTAAACAATCGCTTACCGTCTTAGTAGCATTGTCCACTAATTCATTGAAGTTCTTCTTGATGGTGTCAGGGTCGAAGGCTTGTGACATTTGGTTGTTAACAGTCTTTGCGAATTCTTCCATTTGCTTCTGTAGTGTTTCCATGTAGTTGTTGTTAGCAGCAGGGGCATCACGTTTTACGAAAGCATGAACCTGTGTAGAGAAAAATTTGTGTTAATAGTGATTATTATAATGCTTATGGTGGAAGGAATAAGGAGTACTTTTGTAAAATAATTTTTCAAAAAAAAATTCTAAATTATTATTAGAACATTACCGCGATGTGCGGTTAACAAGCGAAGTTAATCTCGTGCTTTAATTTTTATATTACGATAAAACTCATGACATGGCAACCAGTACATTTAAAGCAGGAAATTTAAAACTCAAATTCATATTATCATTTTATTTGTGCCATATCGTGCCCATGTTCCAAAAGGAGATAAAAGTTCTATACGAAGAGTTTGTGTTACAAGTTCTACACTACAAAAAACATACAAATCCAAATTGCAAAGATGAAGAAGAGAGACACCAAGCATAAAAGAAATCAAAGAAAAAACAACTTACGCTGACAAGGCACACAGCCAGAAAAACAATGAAGAGCTTGTTCATTTTGAAAATGTAAGAAATGGGACGTTGTTGCAAGTCAAAATCAGAATGCAAACTGCACTGTATGCCGCTGAAGTTCCCTTTATCTTGATGTGCAGAGAAGCCGATGTTTTGAAACCATTATCGAAATGACCCCGGGTCGTTTGTCATTGCTAATTAATAAATGAGTTGGTAACAAACAGTAATTGAGGGAGACTTTGGAACCAATCACTTGTATCCTGTAGGACAATTTTGCCAATCTCTTGAACGAGTTATGTTTTGCTTACTTTTATTCTTTTACATATGCATCTTGTTAATTGAGAGCATCCTGAGACTGAAGTTGGTTAAAATATTAGAGGATTGTACTTTCGGCTTAGGTTTTCTTTTTTTGGGATAAGCCGGTTAACGAGCGGGTGAATTGCCTGATGGTAAGCAATCGGCGTCGGCTATTGGCATCCTAAACACCAGATGACCAGAGGCCTCACAAGTGCGTTGCCACTATTTTGGGGGTTTGAGTATTGTTGAGGATTCGAGGATTGGGGAGATTGGGGATGGGGGTAATTTAGTCTCCAGTAATTAACCTCATTCACACGACTAAACACAACTTTTATTTCACGTTACTTTTCTGTGAGACCGTCGTATCACTCCGGCCGAGGATGGCGCTCCCACACTTGGGTTTTCTCTGTATGGTAATAAGTTTAATGCATTGAACTCTTAATGTAACCAAATAATTAACTAACTTAAATACGTGATACATTTAATAGTTTTATAGGTGTAATGTTTACATTATTTTGTAATAACAAACACTGAGATATCACTATACCTATCAATGGCTTTGCAATTTGTGTAGCGTCTTCATAAAACGAATCTCCGGTTAGTTGAAACTTATCTATAATGGGACCTTTGAATTCTTTTCTCTCTTCATCTATCTCTATTGTTGATTTGGTTGGTAAACACTGTGTACAATTTAGAAAATTATCAGTTATTTTATATACAATTATCAGTTTTTGAAAGTATTATACCTCTAATTAAAAGTAAACAGAATTCAGAATCTGTAATGACACTAAATTGACAACGTATAAGTTTTGTTTGCACGTGACATTTTTCAAGCAACAATAAGAGCCAATATTCACTAAAATTATGTGATCTGATTTTATTATCAACACCACGTCATTATTGCATTCAACAAAATAATTTGCTGTTGGCCTTGCCACTGAATTGGAGATAATGATGCGATTATTTGACTCGTAACAATTTTAATTTTAATACATTCATTCTGCTTCGATGGTTGAGTGGTTTCAGTTAACTCTGCCAAACATTTAGTACTTTTATGTTTTTTTTATCTACATTTATTTATTATATCGTTGCCCCACACTAGGGTTTTCTCTTGTGTCGTGGGTGCGATACAGAAGAAACAAAAATACAAGATCACATACACATGACACCCAGACCCGGAACAACAATCAGTGGATCACACAAAGATTTGTTCCATGCGAAAATCGAACCCGCGACACGTTGTGCGGCAGCCAGTTACCAACCGCGCCAACCATGCAGTCAGTTTTAGACAGAAGTAAGTTATGGCCATACTTCAATGATTATCGATCATCGTCTGCCGGAGTACGAAACTTCTCTACATAAGATCAGAGCCATAATCGCTGCGGTTTCAGGTATATTATAAAGAGTGTCGCTGCCTGATCTCTGTTAAATGTGTCGTCTCTTATTCTTCTCTCAAGATCCACGTGGAAATAGTAGAGAAGGCGACAAATATATCCTACCTACCGTCACCACACAGCAACCTAAACCATATATGGTTGTCCCTCAAGTCTACAATCAAAATAAAAAATTGTGGCAAAAGAAGTCAACATGCTGGCACCGACTGTATTTTTCTGTGGATACACATATTAAGTCATTGTATTCTAAAAACTATACGACTTACATTTTTTTTATTTTTCTGATAACTGTTGGAAACATGCCGATCACCAGGTGCCAATTGATCGTCGACTTTAGGGACACCCTGTATAGTAATATAACTTATATAAAACATTACATCATGCTCCAGAGGAGTATACGTCACAAGCTTATAATCATCATCAAGACTCCTGATGATCATCATCAGGAGTTTGTTCGTATTACGTACTCGTGTCAGGTACGTTATCAGTACTAGTAACTCCTCAGACATTTACCGTTACGTTTCTTACTACCAGTATGGATTTTCATAGCTGAAGATACTTATTTGTAAAAGTACAGTGACCAGCTCGTCATTGTTGTCCATTTATTAGATTTTCAACTTTATTATTTTGCTATTAAGTCAAAAATCGAATCTAAAACCTGTTTATCGAAATCAAAATCTGTTCAAAAATTTAATGTAACTAAACAGCAGCTGTAGCCAAATGCCTTGTAGAGTAGAAAACTAAATTATATGGGATTGACGTAAATTTTGACACTTGTCAGTGTCATTGTAATTTAGATATGTAAGAAACCTCAATATCGATCTGGATTAGTCTGTAAGTATATTGCTGGGAATAAAATAACTAAATAAAAAAGAAATCACCATACATTTAGTTTTCTACTCTCTCGGTAGACAAGCGCTAACGTGGCGTTTGGCTATGGCACAGATTAATATGCTTGACGTATTGGCCATTGACCTAATTTTAATTGGATGTCAATTGTGTGTGATCAGTAATCTCACGACCGTATGATTTGTACAAATGTAGAAATAAAAAAAAAGATTTTTTTTAAATAAACTTTATAATGTTAGTGAGACAAAAATTGTAACATACAGCTTGGGAAATATGGATCTGTGATTGATTAATTAATTTTATACATGGATATACATAGGTAATACGTTATTAATGCTATTGTAAAACATAATCAGTCTTTCAATTAAGCAGCGGGTTTGGCAGCATCAGCTTTGGGCTTCAAGTCGTCAATCTGTAAAAAGAAATTAGAATATAAAATCACATTACCAAAAACTTACTTATTGTATAGTATATATAGAGACTAATATCTTATACTATTATATAAAGCGGAAGAGTTTGCCTTTTTGTTTGTTTGTTAGAACGCGCTAATCTCCGTAACTACAAGTCTGATTTGAATAATTCTTTTTGTGTTGGATAGCGCATTTATCGAGGATGGCTTTAGGCTATAAAAAATCACGCTACGACTAATAGGAGCTGAGCATAGCGGTTAAAACCGCGCGGAAGTAGCTAGTAGTATATATAGGATCAAATCTATATTCGAAGACAAAGTCAATACGACTGCAGGTCAAGCTATACCAACAAAACCAGTATATCAAGGTATCGCTTTATATGATCTTTCGGTACATACAACGTTGAATTTATACTGGTTTTATAAACTACGTTTAAAAAAAACGACTTTAATTCCATTTTTTTTTAAATTTATTTACTCAATATACCTACTAAAACCTTCTCCTTCAATAAATGTAACAGAGACTTCTCTAATGGCGAGTGATGCGCTCAAAATACATACAAACAGATCAAAATGAACATCTCCTTAAAATGTATGTAAAATTCTTACCGCTTTGGATGCAGCATTGACCAATTCATTGAACTGCTGTTTTAACTTTTCGGGGTCAAGAGCCTCGGCCACCGATTTCGATACATTGTCACCAAAACTCTTCGCGCTAGCGGCAATCTTCTCCAACTGTTGTTGAATATCTGATGATGATGGGGCCGCCGCAGGAGCATCGCGTTTCACGAAAGCGTGAACCTGTGTCAAAAAATATTACAGTTATTAATATATCTATAGAATATTCTAACTAATGACATTGAAATAAAAATTAATGATCTTTAATGAATTTCGGTCGTAGTTAGGCCAATGTCTTTACTTTAATTTTGAAAAGAGTGCAGTGAATATAGAAAATAATAAAGAAATTCTGCAAAAATCTTTAACATTAGGTCTAGCATACAATTTGGTCTGACATCCATATCTGGTCAACACTTGATTAAGAAAAAGAAATCCTATTTTTTCCATAAGCCTACTTACACCAAATAAACCACTTTGTTATGAGAATAGATTTTTTTGATGGAATAGGAGGCAACGAGCAGACGGATCACCTGATGGTAAGTGATCAGCGCCGCCCATGGATACCCGCAACACCAGAGGAATCACAGGTGCGTTGCCGACCTTTTAAAATGGAATACGTTCTTTCCTTGAAGATTTGAATGCTACATTTTCTAACTGTAGATCCAGAATTGAGCATGTAGAAGAAATAATAGTGATTACTTACGCTGACGAGGCACACGGCCAAAAGGACGATGAGGAGCTTGTTCATTTTGATTGACGTCTTCACAACTTCACAACACAGTTGATACTGCTGCTCACAATACCGGCAATCCTATATATTTAGAAGTTCGTCCAAATTATGTTTGAACTGCTTATCTCAATGACCTCTAATGTTTTCAACGAAATGTATGAGTTATTGGGACAGTCCAATGTAATTTCTAAGCAAATATATTAGTAAGGGTGGATGATTAGATGTTAATTGTAATTAGTTTTAAGTTGTAAACAACTTCTTAAGTATCAATGACTGTAAATATTTGGTAAATGACACAGAAATGTTATTTATTTAATTTTTTATTTTGTTTTTTAGTTATGCCCCACACTAGGATTTTGTCCTGTATATTGGGTGCTTCTACAAACATACAAGTTCACGTACACATGACACTCAGACCCGGAACAAAAAGCCGTGCAGTCTTAGTCAATGTTTAGATTTCAGATATTGCTCTAATTGAATTAATACGAATAAGTGGCGAAAATGCATGATAAATATTGAGGGACGCGAAATGTCTCTATTATATAGGACTCATAACATAAATAGTGAAAAGTGGGTGTTGCATTGTACAGTGGCATAATGTGCACCTCTACCTCCTCGGGGATAAAAGGCGTGATGTTATGTAAATATTGAGGGACGCGAAATGTGATGTATTGTTACATCTTTTTAAATCATGTCATTAACACTAATCATACAGCAAGAATGAATGTAATTGCATCATACAAAAGTTTGGTATGATCAAAATATGACTAAGTTTAAACTTAACATTATAAGTTTTACCTTTCAGTATTATTTTAGCGTTTGTTGTAGAAAAATATTATTTTTGCTGAACTAGGTATCGACATCAGGATATCGTTCCAAATTCAAATTCAAATTCATTTATTCATTGTAGATCACAGGTAGATACATAATAGAGTTGTTATCATAATTTGGTTGAGCTCAGCTGTGTATCTCAGCCTGCCCATAGGGCGTACAATAGTTGGGTACAATATTAATGTTCAAATAAGTCAATTATATAGAGGTAATAAAACATAACATAACACAATTCCGCTACCATGCTTCTATTCATTTGACCAAAAATCACAGATTGTTTTTAGAACTCAAGAAAAAAAGAAACTGTCAAAAAAATGAATGAAACCAAACAAACAATACAAGTTTACAAAAAAATATATTTTATTCAAAACTCAGCATTCTAGTTCTAGGCACACAGCCTTCACAATAACTGGCAAAAGATTTTGTATCTACTATAGTTAGGTTAAGGTCTACATTGCATTACACAAATCAGTCTTCTTCTATGCAGCCGGAGGCTTGTTGTTCATGTCACTCATCTGGAAAATTAAAACATTCGTTATAAATTATTTTAGACTAGCATTTGACTTCATAATGGGAATAGAATTGCTTACCCTACTACACATAACCCCATTGGACCCTTTAAGTTATATAGACCTATTAATAAAAGATACTTTCAGAAATATAAAAAAAAAAAATTATTGCTGAAATCTTTCTTTGTTCTCGCTTCACAATAAGACAAATATAATTTAACATAACATACAAAACATCAAGCCTTTTATCTCCGAAGGGATAGGCAGAGGTGCACATTATGCCCTTGTACAACGTAACACCCACTTTTCACTATTTATATAATGATTCCCATGTAAAAGCGGTGAGCCTATTGTCATATACCGGGCACAATTCCAGACTCCATACTATTAAAAATAATACTTTGTCCGACCCGGGAATACTTTGCTCGACTCGGAAATCGAATCCGAGACCTCTTACCGCACTTGCTGCCAACAAGGCAGTCCAGAAATATAATTTAATATTTCTCTTTTACGATTAAAACCCAACAGCAAGTAAAGAACCCTCTCATTTTGAGATCTAGATTTTATAGTAGTAAAGACACAGGACACATAATAGACTATTAGAAAACAAGACAAACAAAAATGAACCTTACAGCTTTGTTGATGCTTTCAGCAAACTGGTTGAAATTCCTCTTCATGGTCTCAGGGTCGAAAGTACTGGCCATTTGGTTATTAATGTTCTTGGAGAACTCCTGCAACTGCTTCTGTATCTTCTCCAATTGATTCTCTCCTGCAGGCGCATCGCGTTTTACAAAGGCATGTGCCTGTTATAAAAAAGAAAATAGTGGATCGCTTATTGGTAAGAAATGACGATAGTGAGGTTTAAACTACAATAAATTTGTTCTCAGATGTATACAATGAAAACAAATCAAAATGAAATAATACTATGACCTTGTATTGAGATCTATCGATGTTTAGAATTCTTTTTAACTAGATAGTACAGTCAGCCAAGATTTTTTATTTTTTTTATGGAATAAGTCAGTAAACGGATCATCTGGTGGTAAGCAGTCATCAAGTGCGTTACCGGCCTTTTGGAGATTAAGAACTTGAGGATTATTGGGGATTGGAGAGAATGAACACAACGAAAGCGTTGGTGTGTTTCACGTCGGTTTTCTGTGACGCCGTGGTATCACTCCGGTCGAGCCGGCCCATTCGTGCCAAAGCATGGCTCTCCCATACTTATTTGGTATGCATATTACAAAATAACGATAGGTTCAGCACATACATAGTGGAGAATAACCATTCGTTGGCTACAAAAACCATGAAAGACTTAGCTTCGTTAAAAATACATAACAACAGGTTTGGTTTCTTTATTAAATTCATCTGTATTTTCTTATTTACATAAATAGCTTGGCTATCTGTACTTCGATTGAAATTACGATACAAATGTGGTATAGCCAAAAATTTCTCTTAAAGTTTTAAAGTTATTAAGATCAATCTACTAAATTTACCGGCAAATGAAGAACAGAACATTGTAAGAGATTTTGATATAAAAAAAATACTTACACTAACAAGGCACACAGCCAAAAGGACAATAAACAGCTTGTTCATATTGATGAGGATAAAAACAACTTCACAATGCAACTGTAGGATGCAAACTGTGATCTCTTCTATGCGAGTCTCCTATATCTTCCTGATGATCAAAGAACAATCTGCAGTGACCTGAGGTCAATTGTGAATCACTAATCCTATGTATAATAATGTATTGATGTCAAGAGGAGTTTGTTTGTTGTAACCGAATAATATGAATTTTAAAACTGAAATAGATCGATGTGTAGATATTATGATGATGGATATAAAACTAGATTTTACTGTTAGCATTAACAAAGCTTATGGATCGATTAATGGTAAAAGGTCGTCGCAGCCTAAGTCAGCCTATAAATGGCCAAAGGCATCTTCTCATACTGAGAAGATTTGAGCATAAATCACAACGCTTGCTCAATACAAGTTAGCAAAAAAATCTACTATACTATACAAACTTAATTTATAAAATAATTTTGTTGCGAGTAATGCCGCAAGCATAAGCTAGTCAGATTATAAGCTACACTTGCATTTTTGATGTTATCAGCAAGCAACGTGCTACACACATGTTTTAATTACTCGTTGATCTGTCTGCTTGCCCGTTGGGATGGGCTGATAAAATAATTGCCTGACCAAGAAATTAATCGATGAACTAGTGATAATATATGTATATAGGTAATTAGACTCGATACATTCTGGGCTTTTTTTATCACATGATCTCTTACATTTTGTGTTAATGTGAATGAACTTTAAAAGTCTTTTTACATTCGTACGTCTTCGGTAGTCCAATGGTTAGCCATAAAGTTGATACAAGTGTCACACATATTATTCGAAGGGACCGAAATATCATGGAATAGAGATAGCAAGTTCTTGCAATAATCTCCGTGTCCACGCGTGACACGGCGGGTTGGTATCACAATTCAGATAGTCCTAATTTATGAGGACCTGCAGCCTAACTTTCGTCAAATGCTATACTGTCCCTATGTCGCGGAGAACCTAACGGGTAACCGGGGCTCCGGCTCGACGTGCAGGAGAAGGAACGGGGTGGTTTTTAGCCAGTAAGTGTCTGACACTCCTTCCCGCCTCACCCAGGCGGGAGCAGTAATTCGATGATTTTCCCCCCTTAAAAAAAAATACTGTCCATATGACATCACACCTGCGAGTAAAATAGAGATAGAGACAAAAAACGGAGTCTGCTCTGTCATCATCATACGTCGATACTTATAAGATCTCCAATGAACCAATTTCCTCCATTTTTTTGCAAGTCGGTAGATCAAAGTTGTGATGCAAATACCATACGGGATATTGGATTAAGTCGGTTCCCGGTCGTTTGAATCATTTTAATGCTTTGTTTCCGTAGCAGATGAATGGGATAATTGAACTGCAATAGCTACATCTTCAGTACTTCTATGCATGCTCGTCTGTATAAAGAATAATGACAAGCATGTAGAAATACGATGAAACTGTAATGAATGAATAATTTGATTTGATTTTTGATTTGATTTGAGCTATAAGATGGCAAACGTACTTTTATTCGAAAATTTCCCCATACGGAGTCTCGTATTATGCCAATTGTGTCAATTAGCTTCATCTTCTATGATTTTGGGTTCATGCTATAATTCGTAAATAAGGGGTGTTTTTATTCTCAGTAGTAACACGGAGCCTTGAATTGTGCCCGGTATATGGTAAGAGGCTTACCCCATATTACATGGGACTCATAACATAAATAGTGAAAAGTGGGTGTTACATTATACAGTGGCAAAATGTGCACCTCTGCCTACCCCTTCGGGGATAAGAGGCGTGATGTTATGTTATGTTATGTTATTATAATATTTTAAATAAAGTAACATAAGTAAACATACTGTAAGAACATAGTTACATCTATACAATGTATTGTGTAGTTAGACACATACCTACATAGAACCATTATCAGCAATTCCATCTTGTATGTTCGAGGTGCAATAGATAGCAACAACATAACATCCGTCAGCTGTTTATCACTGCGGGTGTTAGTGCATACTTGCATAGGCACAAAGTTCAATTAATATAATAGTGGAAATATTATTGAAGATAAGATTTCATTACATAGGTTAATTGGTAAATAACTAATTAATTAAAACTGACTCGGTGGTCTAGTGTAGATACTATGTGGAGATTGGTCTTGGTTGGTATTAAATACCAGTAATATTATTTTTTCTTTAACAACGATGCCCCCTCTTGGGTTTTCTTCTGTGTCGTGAGTAGAAAGAAAGTAAGAAACACAAAGTACAATAACACACAAAAAAAAACGGCCAACGGTGCAGTCAAAATTAGTTATTGGTTTATTCATTTCCAAAATTCTAAAAACTATGCCATGTTGCTCCATGTTTGACAAAATTATAATAAAATTAAAAAGCTGCGTTTAAAAAAAACCGACTTCAAAAACTAAAGACTAACGAAAAGCAAAAACTAAAAAGGAAAAGAAACTATTATTGGCCATACGTATGTACATATAGCTTACACACCCACTGATAGGTTACAAGTTTAAAAGTGAAGCTATTTTATGTATATATGTTTTATATGTATATATGTATGTATGTAGGCATATTGTACTCATGTGTAGGTATACATTATAATTAAATTTATTTATGTATGTATATCTCCGAAATATATAAGTTTATCTTTCATTGTTAAATAAAATCACTGCTTGCCTCTTGCACCTACCATTTACTCTTCTCTGCATCACCCAAAGGTCAGACTGGTAGAAAATGCCTGCGGCATTAAGTTCACCTTTTTGTACATTTTGTGCATGAAGCATATTAAATAAATAAATAAAATATTTTAAAAGTAGTCATTTGTTCATTGTGCGACAAATTAGAAAACACACTTGATAATTCCTAACATCCTACAAGATACATTATAATCAGACTCAACAATATTATTATCATTACGGTTTAATCATAGTACTGTAGAAAATTACAACACATAGTGTCTGGTCTATACAGGTGGTTCATTATAATCATACATACATTATGATATTACAAAATAAATGCATTTTTTTTTTGTAATTATGTATTGTATAGGCACACACAATCGTGTTCACGGTTGTGTGATCTGACTTTATTTTTATATAGAGGGAGCATGAAATATATAAGATGCGAGGTGTATAAAACCTAATGTGAAGAATGATGACGTCTATTCTTGAAGTGGGAAATGTATTGAAGGTCTTTTTTTTTGTATTGTAACTTTCGTAAGACATACTAAATAAATTATTATGTTTTCGGCTTACTCACGTAATAATTTGACGAGGAACTCGACTAGATTCAAGCCATTCTAGCGTAGCAGCGCGACAACCGTCGCGTCGCGAGTTGTGAAATGCTTCTCATGAATATGAGCCTCTAGCATGGCTTGAAACTAGTCGAGTTCCTCGTCAAATTATTACGTGAGTAAGCCGAAAACATAATAATTAATGTATTGAAGGTCATTAATACACGCTTGCATTTATATTGGACACTAGCTCATGGCTCGATTAATGGTAAAAGGTCGTCGCAGCCTAAGTTCCCTACTAAAAAAAAGCCTGCAACAACACTAACAGCCTATAAGTGGCCAAAGGCTTCTTCTCACGCGGAGATGATGTCGTCCGAGTAGATAAAGTAGCCTTACTTACTTCTTAGTACATCAGCTACCTGCCAATAAGAATCCCCTCAAAATCGGTCCAACTATTTTAGAGACCAGCCAAAACAAAAATAATGTAGATGTATAAGTAATGTCACTGTTTTTATTCCGTGAATGAGCAGAGAGACATGCTTTTACCTAACTCTTTCATGAGTTCCTTGAATTAGGGGACGATAATCGGGTGGTATTATATAGTTTTAGCACTTAACTTAAGACTATAAATAGATAACAATAAAACGCATTTTATAAAACAAATCAAAATCATGTTTTATTGATGGTACGTCGTCATACATATGTATACGTGTAGTGTATTATCGTATTCATACTTTTTTAACGCCTGTTAGTTCATCATACTGTAAAAGAAAACAATTAGATTAATACATTTTAAAAAATAGTAGTGGTCAGCATTACTTTATTCATCAAATAGAAAACTGCCTGGTGTTATTTTACCATCGAGAGTTTGGAGCAAAATCTACTAGATCTATTTCAACTTATTCTCAAGTTTAAAAAATAACAAATATGTATGTAGTGATTGCGTCATTTATTTATGTATTTATGTGTGTAATTTATATACGCCTGGTACCAGGGAATTACTAAAATCAAAACCAGAAATTAATAAGCGTTGACTTCACATAGAATTCGAGGGGTGAATAGAGACGGTAAAGGGATAAATGTATATTAAGAAATTATTATGTAAACATACTACCCTATTCGCTTATCTATTGACCCCTCGAATTCTATTCGCCCCGTTTTATTCGGTAAATAATATGTATATGTACAATTGTATATGTGATAGTTAATTCAGGACTTTCGATAAAAAAATCACTGCTCATCTACGATGACAAATAACCTATTATTTACCCACTTCAAACTGGAGGTTTGACAACTTCATTTTTGTTAAACACTTACCGCTTTAGAAAATCGATTTATTTGATCTCCAATAACACTGAACAGTGGTTGTAAATGATTTACACTGACATCTCCAGCGGCACTCGCAAGACTGTTATCAATGCATTCCCTAAGTTCCGCCATATTTTGCTTTAAACTATCAAAGTTTAGTGTTGAAAGGGTAGTAGAGGTCGAAGGACTGATTGTGATTGGATCTCCATTCTGTGGACATAACAAGCATCAACATTTTTTTCTTTTTTTAAAAAAAACGTTGCCCCTCACTAGGATTATCTCCTGTGTCGTGGGTGCGTTTACAAACATACAAGTTCACATACACATGACACCCAGACCCGAAACAACAATTTGTGGATCGCACAAAGTGTTGTTCCGTGCGGGAATTGAACCCGCGACACGTTGCACGGCAGCCGGTTGCCCAGCCACCGCACCAACCGTGCAGTCATTACATTACACCTTTTAACAGGCAGCACTTTTAAACTATATAATATCCAAATTAATTATTATGTTTTCGGCTTACTCACGTACCTGTTTGACGAGGAACTAGACTAGTTTCAAGCTCTAGAGGCTCATATTCATGAGCAGCAATAAGCGACCCGCGACGCGGCGACTGTCGCGCTATTACTTTAAACTAGTCGAGTTCCTTATAAGCCGAAAACATAATAATTAATTTAGAATATCTCACATAAGTTATAATATAGACATAATGTAACATGGGACTCAACGACTGAGTAAGCAGTGGACTGCTTACTCAGTTGTTGTACTGTAATAAGGGATATAAGCATTTTGACTCATACAGCGCGGAGTTCCGAAGCCATAGTAAAAAAAATGTGATTGCCAAGAATTTCAATAACTCTTCTATCGTTATAATTAATGTCTTTAATTATTTTTAAGGTCCGTTAAGTATTTTTCATGTCTTCATAATTATTCCAGAAAATGAGAAATACCTATCATCATCATGCAGAAGACGTCACCTCTTAGTACATTCTAACTAAACCAATTCGCCACATACATATATCTTTTATTATTTTGATTTCTCTTTCAGAACTATACTGATGTTTTTGCGTATAATACAATTATTTTTAACACTATTTTTAACATAACATAACATCACGCCTTTCATCCCCGAAGGGGTAGGCAGAGGTGCACATTGCGGCGCTTAATATCACTGAGTCACTATTTATGTTATGAGTGCCATGTAATAGGGGGTGAGCATGTTGCCATATACCGGGCACAATTCCAGATTCCGTGCTACTACTGAGACTTAAAAAAAAACTCAGTTATACTTCGCCCGACGCGGAAATCAAACGCGAGGCCCCTTGCCAGGCAGGCGCACTTGCGACAACTAGGCCAACGAGACAGTTAATAAACTATTTTTAAATAAATAAAATTACTTACGATCAAAACCAACAACACACAAATAAAAATTGAATATTTCCAAAACATGTTAGCTTGTATGGAAAGACAAAAAATACTGAACTTAGTATTGGCAAACGATTAGTTTATGTACAAACGGTGAACGGATATTTACATAGGTACAGTCGTATTCATAACGTACAGGTAAACTGGCTTCTTAGTACTAGGTATTATGCAAATACTATGGGCTTACATAATGGAACATAACGATTATGATTCTCTTAATAGGTAAGTTATTATGTTGGCCTTGTAAAGTGTAACTTCATTTGTTTACAGAAGGCTTTTTTTTGAGTGGGGAAAATCATTTTATGAAACCCGCCCGGGTGATGCGAGAGGGGGAGTGTCAGACTCTTACTGAGTCGAAACCACCGCGTTCCTACTCCTGCCCTTCGAGCCGGAGCCCCGGCAACTCTTTAAGTCTTCCGCGGTTCCGTATCGCCATTAGCCCTGTTGGGCCCCATCCGTGGTGGTTTGAGGCGCGCATGGAACGCGTCGCGCCTTGCGCTCGGGTCTGGTTGTGGTTGCAGGTCGTCGGCAGACCCGTTTACGGAAGGTTATGGCTCGATCTTTGGTTTGGTCCAATTGGTTTTTAAATTCCTTAATAGAAACAAGGCCTCAGACTAGGATTTTCTATGTTTTGGGTGCATTTACAAACATACTACATGCGAGTTCATAGTCCCGGAAAAAGAAATTATGATACACAGAAAGGGTTGATCCGTGCAGGAATTAGTCGGATGCTCAGTGTCTTTGCCAACCTTGGCGTACAAAAAATGTAAATTGACCAATCTTGAAAAAATAAACTTATCTACTATTTAAATACTCTTTTGTTTCGCATCATTATTCTCAGTGTGTCCATTTCAAGTACTAAATACTTATCGTCGATCACTGGGTGGATATGGACGCATCAAGATACTATAAACATTTTTTTTTTACTTCATAGAACATAGATAGACAATACAAATGATCTCTTAAGACTATAGGTTTATGTCTATTTTTGATTAGTTCAATGAGTCAAAAATAACACAAATATAGAAATTCTCATACACTTATTTTGGTACACTTTTAATAAAAAGCACTACTTATCTATCGCGAGAATTTCGTCAGAAAACAAAAGTATAGGTACTACCTACAATATTTCGACGTATTGGGCTCTATCAGTAGTAATTACGGTTTTTGTAAACATCCGAGAATTTTTGCAATAATAAAGAGGTTATCAAAACTCTTGATTCATATTCACTATTATTTACAATAATACTCAGTTCCTGGTAACTCATAAATAAATATATTTTTTTTAATATCACCAAACGGCGACACATCAAATGTAAAAAAATCATTGGTGCATACTTTGGGCCCATATGACAAGAAATTATCTTCATCACCATTTCAATTCGGGACTGGCTGTATAAATAACATTGAGTTTAATACAAAGAGGCCGGTAGTAAAAAAATAAAATGATGTTCCATATTTAAAAAAAATATGCTAGAAAAACTACTGGCAGATATATACTACTATGAATTTAACGTTACAACGTTAAATTTAAAAAAAGAGTGTTAGGCACGTCCATTTAAAAGTTTGTATAGCTACTTATACAGAAATGAAATAAAAAATCATTAGCTTTACAAGTAATTAATTTTTACGACAGTAATTAGTGTCTGGGTTTAATGACTATTTTTGTGTAATTAACCATAACTACTATTTGCAGAATTCACGAGGCGATGTATTCGATAATTATAAAACCAAAGTAAAATTCATTCATACAATCAATGTTTAGTTTTATTTAAGAGTCAATGACCTGATTTATCTGTGTTTCTTAGGTATAAAGAGTAAAAGTCATCGCACACCTAACGAGCACGACTCCGCACATAATCAACTCAGCAAATAACTTATCATTTAAATATGAACTTCAAATCGTATGTCGTATTTTTTATGGGATAAGCCGGTATACGAGCAGACGGATCAACTGATGGTAAGCAATCGGCGTCGCCCATGGACACCTGGAACACCAGAGGCGTTACAAGTGCGTTATTAAGAATTTGAGGATTGTTGGGGATTCAGGGATTGGGGAAGGGGGTTGGAAGTTGAAGATGTGGCAAGACATAAACAAATGACAGAAGTCAGATGACGTACATAGACGAACAAGGACACAAATCGTACATCGCACATGTGAAGTTTACATGCGAATAAACAGGTGTGTAATATGCGAGTAAATTCCAACGCGGACAACTGATGGTCAGAAAGCCAGCCAACCACGATCACCGAGCCTAGTCGGAGGATCCTTGTTTTCTTAGGGACCTTTACTTAATAATAAAATGAAATAAAGATAGCCTTTATTCTACCACAAAACATGCTCACAATATTTCAATCATTATATTTAGTAGATATAATATATTGTTTCAATTTAATTATCATTAATTTATTTGCATATATGTATTTGGTTTTTTTTATAAATATTATTATTTTTAAACGGGAACTTCACTTACTCTTCCCTAAAAAGAGGTCCTACAATAGCAATAGGCATGAAATATTCTACCCTGTCAAGGACTAAAAAGAAATATAAAATTGACATCATTGTAACATTCTCGTATTGACAGTTCCTATAATGAGCTTGTATTTGTGTGTATTCTTTAATACTTAGAGAACGGCTGAAACGTCTCATTACTAATTTACCAGTATATTCAAACACATTTCTAAAATATACAAACATTGTACATAATAATATTTGTATACCCTAATTAGCCGGAGTAATAATTACTCAAATCAAATATGTATCGCTCGTAATTTAATGAGCACAAGAATACATATAAAGAAACAACCTGTATCTTATTGATGAGATTCCCTCACTTTTCAGTAGGAAATTAAAAAAACATAACATATAACATCACGCGTTTTATTCCCAAAGGAATAGGCAGAGGTGCACATTATGCCACTGTACAATGTAACACCCACTTTTCACTATCTATATTATGAGTCCCATGTAATAGGGGGTGAGCCTATTGCCATATACTAATGCTAATTCATGTATATTGATGGAAACTCTACTGTATATCTCAGGAACTTAGAAAGACCAACAAATTACTAGCATTTTTTTTTTCAAAGAACTGAGTTAACACCATAGATATAACAAAGAAAGAGATACGGTTTGTATTACATACAAAATGTATGCAAAACCGGTGAAACCAAATACGGTACCCAAATACAGTTGAACTGCAAAAGCCTTCACATAACATAACATAACATCCACCTTTTTATCCCCGAAGGGGTAGGCAGTGCACACAGAAGTAACACCCACTTTTCACTATTTATGTTATGAGTCCCATGTAATAGGAGGTGAGCCTATTGCCATATACCGGGCACAATTCCAAATTCCGTGCTACTACTGGCATCTTTGAAAAAAAACCAGTAATACTTTGCCCGACCCGGGAATCGAACCAGAGACCCCTTGTTCGGCAGTCGCACTTGCGACCACTCGGCCAGCGAGGCAGTCATGTCAGTCAGTTAAAAGCCTTCAACCTATGATTACTTTTCCTTATCTCGTTAGTGGTGTGTTTTAGCAGTACACTTAATAAAGGATCTGAAGGCTGGTGTAAAGTCCTTAATTTAATTTATAAAATCTGTATAGCGTTAAGCCTTGTATTATGATTTCTACCTGCTAGGCTATTCTTTAAGTTTCAATTCGAAAGATCGAAATAAAGTCAACGCGGTCCGCCATGTTATTGGTCGTGAGAATAATCTCGACCAATGACGGGCAAGAATGCGATCGAGCGCACTTCGAAAATTTGAATTTACAGTTACACAATAACCTAGAAAGTCTAAATTTAGCAATAAGCCTACTTAACTCTAGTGACAAAATAATCTCTTTGACTAAAAATATCTAATCCTTTAAAATAAACGCCAAATTTATACAGAAAATCGGATAAATTCGCCGTATTACGTATTATGTTACCGACTGTGCCGCCAATTGCGCTAATAGTCGGTGTTCAGTCCCAATTGTTTGAAGAGATCAAAACGGCGAGTTGATATCGATACCTAGAACCTAATTATTGAAGTTTCGAATCTAAATGTCTAACTCTAGAGAACTAGGGCTTTATATCGACTAATGTAGTATCGAATTTCAAATTAGTACCGATATTTTAACAACTAGTAATTTCTTGTCTTACACAGGTAGAGGAGTTATTATTTCTATTACATCCATACATACATACATAACTTCACCCCTGTCTCCCATGGGGGTAGCGAGAGACTATGGAACGCCATTATTACAACGCTATTTATATTACAGTTTAATAATTACCTATGTTATGTTCAGTGATGTGACTTATCTTAGATAAAAGTATCTGAAATACAGATACAAGATACAAAATACGTATTTATATCTTGTATTTGAAATACTTTTTAATTTTTATATTTTGTATCTTATATTTAGATACATTTTCCAGGTATCTTAGTATTTTGAAGATACTTTGTTCACTAAGATACTTTTACTAAAATAAACTTCGCAGTTTTTCTTTCCGAACGCAACTGAACGCAGCGCGTCGTTTATTTCGATACCATATTTTTACGGATCGGAAACTAAATGACAGATGGCGACACTATCTTTTTACAAATGTCATCGGTTAAGTAAGTAAGATCGTCAATGCCAAAATTAAAATTTAAACAAATAATACAAAAAAAAAGATTGTCAATGAGTGTGATCTGTCACTAGTGTCACTGTCACTCCTTCCGTAAGTTTTTCGCTGAGGTTTTTCGTGTGTACGTGGACGTGGTGTATGGTGTTTAAAATAAAATATTGTAATTAATAAATAACAATATCGCCTTTGTGAGATTCGGGATCGCGAACTTACCTACATATTTTGTCTTGTCACATTTGCCTGATCCTTGATATCAACGCGGTCTATCCGAGAACTGTTTTCAAATTAAACGAATAAACTTACATTCAATTAAAATTTATTAAATGCTGTTTTCTTACAAAAGTATTTTATCTTTAAAAAGTATTTTAAAGATAGGTATTTTGTATCTAGTATTTCAGATACTTTTTTAGAAAAGTATTTGTATCTGGTATCTGAAATACTTTTTTTAAAAGTATCTTGCATCTAGTATTTCAGATACTTTGTATAAGGTATCTTATACATCACTGGTTATGTTACGTGCTTATTGTAACTACTAATGATCCTATTCACATACACTAGTTAGTACTGGGTATAATTTCATCTTACGGGTGTCGTGGTGGCCCGGAGGTTGAAGACGCCTGCTTCTCATGCACGAGGGTGCAGATTCAAAACCTACCAACAGCAAGCACCAATGTGACTTTTTCCGAGTTATATGTACTTTCTAAGATTATTTAGACACCTCTGACCAATGGTGAAGGAAAATATCGTAAGGAAACCTGGGCTTATAATTCCTAATTATAAGTTTGAAATCGCCAACTCGCATTGAGCAAGCGTGGTGATAATGCTCTAACCTTATCCATGTGAGAAGAGGCTTTGCTCAGCATTGGGCATTTATAAGCTTTTGATGATAATTTCAATTTCCGTGATTTTTTCATTTCATTCCTTCTTTTTTAGAGAGATTTGGATCTACACACATTTCGAAATTATACACACATACATTTCGAAAGCACGTTAATAACATTTTGCCTTCTCTGGAAATCGAACTTAAGACCCCTTGTTTGGTAGTCGTACAACCATTTAGTTAAAGAGAAAGACAGTATTAAGATTCTATAACTTACGCATTGCCATAAATGCGATAGCGTTCCAACTCTATCCTATCTAAGTCTACCTAAGACCTAAGGGCTCGTACACAAAACTGCGATGCGATGTGCATTCACGACACAGACAATTACGCTGCGAAACGCTGCGATGCCATTTCGTGCGACAAGGCGTCTCCCAGGATGACCATTCCTTTGACGCCCGTCAACCGTACTAAACGTATTTTAAATTGAAAACTAGGTCGTGACATGGATCGTAATAATAAATGTGCACTTCTGTTATTGCTTAGGAGATATCTACATGAAAAAGAAACAAAGAAGATTTTGGAAAGATAAGATGCGCGACGCGAATCAATTCGCTAGTTCTTGCAATGCGTAGAGGGAGTTCGCACATTTTTGCGATGCGACGTCGCATCGCAGATTTGTGTACGAGCCCTAAGATCATCAAGGCAATCAGTAGACACTAGGTATTTTCTAATAGGTACTGTGAAATAACAGAGACAAGCAACGATAAATCTTTAATAGGTTATCATCTATTCTAATGTAGGTACATAGAGACTCTAATTACAATAACAAGTGATATGACTATCTATTCTCGGTACCTTGGACAGATGTGATGTGACTTAAAGTGTTAGGTCTTTTCGGATAAATAAAATGTTTAATTAAACAATAAAAAAAACATTTAAAAACAAATTTTCCCTCACTAAACATCTAAAAATTAACAATGATAATATGTATTTTATAATTAAAAATAAAAAAATATATGCTTCAGAACAATAATAATCATTATAGCTTAGATCCCCGGATTGCCTGGTGAGAACTGTAAAAAAATGTTACGATTTATTTTTGTTCAAGCTTAAACTTCATTACAGACTTGTACATACAATGAGGATGTCTGATTTGTCAACTAACTTAACCAACATATAATAATGTACTTCTTTATGTAGATCTTCAAATTAATATCAACAAAAGCCCCGTGTCACTACTGAGATTATTTTTAAAACCCAGTAGTATTTTGCCGGACCTGGAAATTGAACCCTAGACTCCTTGCCCGTCCCGTTGAAAATCATCCCCTAAATTTGTTCATACAAAAGTAGTCTCTAAACATCGAAAATAAGGTCTATAATGTAGTTAGTGGAGAGCGGTCACCGGTGACCGCTTGGGGATATATGGGCAGCACTCACACTTGCGAACACTCGGCCAACGAGTGGGTCTATATCATCAATCCTAGTAAAAAATAATCATATGACAACCAGGTTATCCAGGTAGATAGATCCTATGGCAAAAAAGTCCTATCATTCCGTATATCAGTTACTTTTCAAACCAACACAATAATTAGCAAATAACGAAACACCTAAAAAGTATCTCTATTTAGCTACATTACGCACAAACGCTAGTCTACTTAACATAACAATCCAAAACAAATATAAACTCAAATCTTCGAATAAGTAATAACTTATACATATAATAATAATTCTAAAATGACAAACATAAATCGCTTCGAGTACATTTGCAGTACAAACAGACCTTCGGTTTATAAGTAACTGGTCAAACATGGAGTTTGTATTACGTTATGCATTGTCTACTACGTCCACAAGTTTAGAATTGTGGACGTTTACTCAAAGGTTTAAGTATATAACCGGAGATAGGAATCGCTATTAGTGACACGTATAACTAATATGTTGATGTTACAATAAAAGATTTGTTTTTATAATAACTATTATGAGACATAAATCGCGGACTTCTCACGGGAAATACTGAGAAAAACTCTGCGCGATGTCACGCAGCCTGCGTAGGTTACGCGTCATCGCAGCGACCGTATACGCTGCTCATGAGGAAGAGCGCCCTTGTGGCTCGAAACTAGTAGTAGTAGAGCTTATCTCAGTACATTCACATGAGTAACCCGTGATTTTGAGTTAATTTAGTATGTCTTACAAAAATTATAAAAACAGAATAAAATATACATTAAACTTTACTTTTATTGAACCTTAACACTCACCCAACTGTTGAAGTAACCCATCAAATCTTTATTTGTTTTCTTTTCATCCTGCTTCCTGGCTTCTATATTTGGATCAAACGTTGGATTGTACTGATCAAATAATTTGGACATGTCTACCAAATAGCCGGGAAGTCCGAAATATCCAGACCTGTCTGTGACTGGTCCTTCTGCAGCTTCTGACACTTCAGAAAAAGTAGCAATAGGGGGAAATGCTATAGTTACTGGCTTGTTCGGTCTTGCAGATGCCTGGAATAGATGATGTTACGTGAGAATATTGTTGTATTTTTTTTTGAAAATGGAATTTGAATAAAGATTTTTAAATTACACTTTATGGCTTATTTTCGAGGGTTGTAAATAGTCATGACCTTTTTAAACAAAAAATATATTAGTTACATCTGTATTATTCGTACAATTACAAGGTAAACTTACATGCATGATTGATGGTTATCTCCCACGTTAGACGTAAACTAATAAATTTTAATAATGTTTAATATTATCGTAAACAAGATACTTTTAGCTGTAGGTAGTAAAACATATTGCAAATACCTTCGAACACGCATTTCAAGTAATTTAAAAATCTTGTTATAAAACCATAATACTTTTACAACATACCTCTTAGCACCAAGAAGTATACATGTATATAGGTAGGCTTACATTATATACATAGATATATAACAACAGTTTTGTAACAATAATGCTAATGATACGCCAAATTATACATTCATTCGGATGCCGTTATTCTACTTAATGGACTACGATTATCATATAAATGGAACATTGTATTAATCTATGCTATTCCTAAATTTAAGAGAAATGTATTCAATGAAGCCGAAATTATTATACTTTATATATGATTTGAAAAATCCTCTTTTTTATTCCTTCATTTCTTACATATCAGTCTTCATTTCATCCATCCACTACAAAGCTGCGAAGGGCTCCGGCTCGAATAGCAAGAGTAGGAACTGTTTTTAGTCAGTAAGAGCTAACCCAACCTCTCGCCTAACCTAAGGCGGGAGGAGTCATTGGATGATTTAAAAAAAAAAGTCATCCATCCATAGCCCATATAAACGCCACGCCCACGCTGGTCAGGCAGGTTGGTGAATGCAGCTGTCAAAATAATACTTTTCTTTCTCTTTCTTTCTTTCAGATCAAGAGATTTATCAAATAGCGCTGCTACGCAGTCTTTGTTAGTGTGTGGTCCTTTAGTCTGCTTCGACCACACGCGCTGTTCCGCTCGCTTTATTACGTACGATTAATTAAAAGATGAAATTATCAATCAAAGTGTCTGGACAGATGAATATGAGGGAGGAAAATCCAAAACAAGAACTGTATATGACACCACACTCAAAATACTCACGATATAAAAAGTGGACGAAACTAACAATATATAAAGAAACGACATCTTTGACAAAACAATACTACAAATCTAAACATAATTTATGTCTAGGTCCCTTTTATATATTATAAGAAGTTCTTTATTACCTTTGGATGGGCTAGGAATGTCACGTCCAAACGATAAGGACTAATGTTAAAAGTATTGTCATCTATTGTTTAAATGAAACCAGATACTAAAGTTATCATTAAATGCTGCAGAAATGATGCTAAAATCCTTTGTTTGGTTAATACTTTGTGTATGAGAATACATAGGTTCAATATTTGTAGTGATTACAACACAATATTTCTGATTTAAAATTATTCCATAGTTGTGTGTGAATGAGATCTCGTAACAAAAGAGGAAGTACAAAAGCTGTCGAACGTAAAATCAAAAAATAACAAAAGGAATTTTTTATAAAATACGTAAACGAATCATTTACGCTGCGCCTTTATTATCTCTTATTTATCACACATTTCCACGAATTAACCGACTCAAACACATCAAACAAAAAGAAAATATATTTACCTGCGCTATTTTTCCAATTCCCCTCTCCTATTCAATATTATACAAGCTCAGATTTAACAAATCTCATAACTCATATGATATGTACATGTAAAACTGTTCAGAGTTAGTAAAAACAATAAGTCATCATGCATAGCACATATTGTTTTGTACGGAAAATATTTGTCACTTCATATTACGAAAGTTGGTTTTGAATTTTATCAAAACTGCGGTATTTTAGTCCATCGCTTTGGGATATAAACAGTCAACTCAACTTTGCGGAAATATGCTAAGCTCTGCTAACGAATAAAATGTGTGTCTATAGAATGTTCTGGTTTATTTTTTGACTGCACTGAGTTTTGATTACGAAATGTACAAAAACCAATCCGAATTTGTACTCTCTATTTTAATGAATGTATGTACTTACTTTTGTCAGATACAATACACAAATAACTACAACTATTTAGTACCTACCAACTGCTAACCGCGACTACGTCAGCGTAGAATATAAATTTTAGGACGTATCTTTTTTATGATTCAATTTTCCGAAATAGAAGTAGTCTATATTACTTCTTAGTACATTAGCTACTTGCTAATAGAAAATGTTATTTTGGTATATTATTATATATCGTATGTATAAGTATATTCATATGCATGTAGGTGCTGTTGGTGGTTTTAATTATTACAAACATACACTTCAATTTTGCTTGCCTCGTTGGCCGAGTGGTCGCAAGCTCGACTGCCGGGCAAGGGGTCTCGGGTTCGATTCCCGGGTCGGGCAAAGTATTACTGGGTTTTTTCAAAGATCTCAGTAGTAGCACGGAATTTGGAATTGTGCCCGGTATATGGCAATAGGCTCACCTCCTATTACATGGGACTCATAACATAAATAGTGAAAAGTGGGTGTTACATTGTACAGTGCCATTAAGTGACGTAATGTGCAACTCTGCCTACTCCTTCGGGGATAAAAGGCGTGATGTAATGTTACTTCAATTTTATTTATCTGTATAGATAATTAGATTTAGATTATAGCCATCAATAGACGTTTGGTAAGAAACAAACGCGACCACAATATGGTCATACACATCACCATATTATGGTTATGTAATTTCTTTAAAAGTCTCATGCATCGGTTGAATATTAACAAACATAACGAACAAATAAGAGGTCACGAAAACTAACAGAGTACCTGGTCTATTTCAATAATCTTGTTCTATTTACAAGAACAGCCCTTATAACGTAATTTACTATTTAGAACAGAGAAGAAGTAATATGATGTCCTTGCATACCCACATTTCCAACACGCATCTCTGAGTTCAAGAAAATGGTCTTTCGATCCTTCTAAAAGATTTATGATGGTTAACCAAAGGCGACCCATTTTGAGTTGTACCGTCTGGACACTTTCCACCAACACTCACTTCATTAATCGGATTTTCCTTGAAACATGCCACATGGCGATACCGCACAGGCATCCTTTTCTCACCCATTAGTGCCACTACACCCCCGAACCCGCAAAGGTCGTTAGTGCCATTATTTCTCTCTATCCCACTCACGAATTTCCCATTTTCTGTCCTTGTCCCCCTCAACAAGGTGCTTTCTATCGGTACTTGTAAATGAAGTAAATTCAAGGTTACGCACATTTTCTTTTACTTTGCTACACTAGTTGTGATACGTAGCTTCGTCTGATTTAAGTTTTGAATATTTTTGCCTCCTATGTTTAACATCTCTAAGTGAATCTTTAAGATTTAAGTATGGGAGACTCATGCTTCGGAACGACGGCCGGCTCGACCGGAGTGATACCACGCCCTTACAGAAAACCGACGTGAAGCAACGCTTGTGTTATGTTTCGTCGTAAGCGTGAGGTTACCGGAGGCCCAATTCTTGAATTCCCCTTCCACAATCACCCCAATCCCTGAATCCTCAACGATCTTCAAACTCCTAATCCCCAAAAGGCCGGTAAAGCACTTGTAACGCCTCTGGTGTTCCAGGTGTTCCAGGGCGTCATTGTTAACCGGCTAATAGAAAATAAATCTTTCTATCTTACTAAAAATATTTCGTAAGACGAATGAATATTTTGAAACTATTGGAAAAAAATTATAAAAAATATAATACTAATAATGTAATACTCTATACTGAAAATTTTCCAAGTATTCATAAGAAAACTAAATGGCTAGATGACAGAATTATTTAACTTCAAAATTCTTATTAAATAACATAATTCATAAGTCTGTCTGTACGTGACTGGATAATATTTTCAAAACAATGGAACGTGATAGACGGGTGCGTCATTTAGATAAAAACATAATTACTCTTTACTTATCTTTAGAGGTGTATGCAGTTAGTATAATTTTGTTTAACTTATATTCAAATGCATTGTAGACAATATTTTGATAACAAAAACAATTAGTAAAATAGTCAAAGAGCTAGACAAAAATAATTTAGCTTTATTTATAAACTGAGAATTTATTATTGCTTTTCAAATTAAAAAAGAGCCTTATTATAATTAACCCATAATTTGGCAATCATCTATACATATAATAAAATTGTAGAAAAGTGCTGTCTGTACATTGAAAATAAAAATTAAAAAAATAGCAGGGGCTATTGTTATGTCGATGTCGAACCCAAAAATGTAACTAACTTTTTTTTTTATCTGTTTGTCTGTTTGTCTGTTCACGCTAATCTCAGAAACGGCTTATCCGAGTTGGATGCGGTTTTCACGAATATATTGTGATACAAAAAAAAACGCTGCTCATAGTCACTATTCTACGCGAACGAAGTCGCGGGCACAGCTAGTTGTGAATATATACGAAGCTGATTTATCTGATTAAAAAAACAATTGAAAACAATTATTTTCTTAAGAACAGAATGAGAGACGAGCATACATGATAATACTGATGACTGTTGATCGAGACGTATGTATGTGAGCATCGAAGCAATTGGCGTTTCAGTCTAATCCCCATGGAAGACAGGCGTGAGGTTAGGTATATGTATATATGTACAAAAGTAAAAAAAACAAACACTAATATTAACAAAGCACTTTCTTTATGCAACGATACTGTATATTAAACTGAAAAATAAACCCCACAAAGAGTCAATATTAAAACTGCAAATTAAAAATCTAATACAAACAATATTGCCGAGTTAATTGAAACAAACAAATAAAAGAAAACAATACAATCTAGTCTGAATTGGACTGTTTCAAAAACTGTCCTTTGCTATTAAAATTACTGAACATTTTTAGAAAAAGCTTCAAATTGCTGTTGAAAAAATAAAAGTACACGAGTCTTTTTATGAATTCATGATATTTTTTGTGTGTGAAATCAATTAAAATTGATTTCACACACAAAAAATGTTTTAAGAAGTTTAGGAGGCGAATAAACCTCTTTATGGAGATGCCAATCTGAGCACTCGTATACAATATAAAAACTCTTATATTGTGTTCGGCTTTAAATAAATGAGCTACCTTAGCTATTTTTTTTTATTTATTTGGTCTTCAATGTACACAATTTAATTATGCCACATAAGGCGAACTTAATGCCATATGGTATTCTCTACCAGTCAACCTTAGGGTTTAAGTAGAAAATCTGCGTAAAATAAGGTATAGAGAATAAACTAACAGCAAAGAGAGAGAGGGAAAAATTATGATAATCATTAAATAATATAGCTATACATATACCTCTATATTACATAATAGTTAATAGTATATACTACGTAGTTAGATGCAATAATCTTTCAAAAAGTAATGTATGTACTAAATAAAATATCACACCCTAACCCGTGTCTTAAGAAGAAACCCTATTACAAACGATTTCCAATACAAAACTATCAATAGAAACGACCCGACTATTAACAACAAAACTTAACGATATTTGACACTTCATAGCCGAAGTATAAGCCAAAATTGTTTGTAAATAGGTCCCTACATAGATTCATATTTACTTGTAATGTCAACCTCGATAGTCCACGCGCCGATTATTAAATTAAACCCTCTTAATATTTCAGCTGGGCCTGTATTTACTTAGGACCTCAAGTTAGGCTCTTATCTCACTATATAATGCGACTCCGAGATTATATGGTAGCATTTTCCGTGGTCCGGACGAGAAAATTTCATAGAACATAGATTTCTTTGGTGTTGATTAAAGGAGCAGAATACTAATAGCTCATTTCGGGAAGTTGCTTTCGTTGTGGAAAAATGTGGTAGTTTTTTTATTGTTAGTACTGCATTATTATGCATATTTTTTAGTTTTTTAGACACGTAAAATGTGACTACTTAGTACGATGTATCAGATTGTGTATGCGAGTTGAACATAAAAATTGGGAATATTAATTCAATTTCATAACTTTCAATGTACGATAATACCCCTTAACTGATTATTGTAAATCTTAAAATCCCATTTTTTCTGAACCTACAAAACCAAATGATCATGATGCCGAATATTGTTAGGTGCTAGCTCCTATACTTTTACCTACAAGGAACGCTCACACATCAATATCCACTGCTATAGGGATGGCATTAACACATAAGTTAGTAGGGTTGTCGCTATCGAAAC